TGATCATCTCACTCAGTTTCAAGTGAAGAAATAAAAGTTAGATAGCACACACACGCACAACAAATATAAGTCACATGTAAATAATACACATAAATAATCAATATCACAAATATACTCATTTATCATGCTATGATGTCATGGACTTGACTCATAAATGCATGCATGTGGCGCCATAAGGAAGTTTCACAATTCATCATCACTGGTGACCCTAAGGCACACCTGGTTACATCAATGGTGACCCTAAGGTACACCTTGTTAGCATGTTACAACTGTCGGCGACCCTAAGGTACACCTTTTTAACATGTTACAACTGTTGGTGATCCTAAGGTACACCTTGTTAGCATGTTACAACTGTCGGTGACCCTAAGGTACACCTTGTTAGCATCACCGGTATGCGGCCTCAGCGGCACACCTGAAATAATATATGCATATGATGCATGTCATACATTCATTATTTCATGGACTCAACATTTTAACTTATTACAGAATTTCATTTAGTACATCATGTCATTATTTTTCATATTCTTATAATCACAACTTGTCTCAATAGTCCATTCTTAGGTCTCATGTCATTTGTCCATATTTCACATGGTCATGTCATAAATACTCCTCATAAGGTCCGCACAGGAATTCACAGAGATCCACAAAAAACATTCTTATTCATATTAAAACTTATTTATTTTTAACATTAATCACATATTCATTTATTACTTCCAACAAGGAACAAAGTAGAGCAAACAAAAAATAAAATAGAACACCAGGCAAGGATTGGGGGTCAATCCGACAATCAAACTATCCAACAATTATCCCCACACCCCCGAGCGAGGTTTCTCACTCCCCCCTTACCTAGATAAGCAGGAGCTAGAACTTGGGCAGGACCTCCTCCTCTGGATTCCCTCTTTCTTTCCCTCTCTTTCTTTCTTTCTTTCTTTCTCTCTCTCTCTCTCTCTCTCTCTTTCTCTCTCTAAGATTTTACCTTCTCACTCAGTATAATTTTTTTCACCCCCTGTCTCCTATTTAGAGGCATCCTGGCGCACCCGGAACGGCCCGTATTGAATTCAGAACGGCCTGTTCCGGATCCTTCGAAGCTATGCAAAATTTTCAACTGGAATGGCCAGTTCTAAAATCGGAACGGCCCGTTTCCAAAAAGCAGAACGACCCGTTCTAAAATTAGAATGACCCGTTCTAAAATTAGAACGGCCCGTTCTGGGGTCCATGTTAACACATATTGACTATAGTTGGAACGCCCAGTTTTAACTAAATTTTTTAGGCATTTTTAGAAATCTGGAACGGCCCGTTTCCCTTTTAAAACGGCCCGTTCTGGAGAAATCAAAATTAGCCTCTTTTCTACTTTGGAACGGCCCGTTCTGCTGCTTCAAAAATAGTATATTTTCTTTGTTTGGAATGACCCGTTCCACTTTTGGAACAGCCCGTTCTGGCGTAAAAAAAACTATTTTATAAAAATTTTCATAAACAATTTAAATTATTACAAACCTTTAAAAATACTTTATAAAACCCTTTTAATTAACTAAAATAACTATATACAAGATATTCTTCATAAATATAAAAATGAATAATAATTAATATTATAATAGTAGTAAATTCAGGGTGTTACAATTCTCCCCTCCTTTTTAGAAATTTCGTCCCCGAAATTTACCTAAAAACAGAAATGGGTAAGCTTCTCGCATCTTGCTTTCTAATTCCCATGTAGCACTTTCTTCAAAATTTCCTCCCCAAACGACCTTAACCAAAGGGATTTCCTTTCCTCTCAGTTGTTTCACCCTCGTGTCATCAATCCTTAAAGGAACCGTTTCATAGGTGAGATTATCCTTCAACTGGATGTTGTCAGACTCAATGATATGGGAAGGATCATGGACATACTTTCTGAGTTGGGAAACATGAAAGACACTATGGAGATTTGAAAGAGATGGAGGCAAAGCAATTTGATAGGCCACTTCACCGATTCTTTTAAGAATTTGATAAGGACCAATGAAACGTGGAGTAAGCTTACGGGATTTCAGTGCTCTGCCTACTCCTGTCCAAGGAGTGACTTTAAGGAATACATGATCACCTTCTTTAAACTTAAGGTCTTTTCTCCTCTTGTCATTATAACTCTTTTGCCTACTCTGGGTTGCTCTCATCTTCTCTTGGATCATCTTAACCTGTTCAGTAGTTTGTTGAACTATCTCAGGTCCTAACATGACATTCTCTCCAGGTTCTACCCAACATAAAGGTGTTCTACATCTCCTACCATACAGAGCCTCATATGGTGCCATCCCAATACTAGAATGGTAGCTATTATTGTAGGTAAATTCTATCAAAGGTAGGAAACTATCCCAACTACCCCCACGTTCTAAGATGCAAGCCCTCAACAAGTCTTCCAAAGATTGTATGGTTCTCTCAGTTTGGCCATCTGTTTGGGGATGGTAAGCTGAACTCAATCTAAGCTTAGTGCCTAAAGCCTTATGCAAACTCTCCCAAAATCTAGAGGTGAACCTAGGATCTCTATCAGACACAATACTAGTAGGAACTCCATGCAACCTCACGATCTCACTGATGTACAACTTGGTTAACCTCTCCAAAGAGTACCTAATATTAATGGGAATAAAATGGGCAGACTTAGTCAATCTATCCACAATGACCCATATAGCATCCAAGTTCTTCACAGTCTTAGGTAACCCAACTACAAAATCCATAGAGATGCTATCCCACTTCCACACAGGCACATCTAAAGGTTGCATCAAACCTGAAGGTTTTTGGTGTTCTACCTTAGCTTTCTGACATACTAAGCAAGCATACACAAATTCCTCCACTTCCCTTTTCATCTTAGGCCACCAAAACATCTTCTTAAGATCTTGGTACATCTTAGTGGCTCTTGGATGGATACTAAGGATACTCTTATGACCTTCTTCTAGGATTTCTCTCTTAAGCTCTGGCATATTGGGAATGCACAACCTATCCTTAAATCTCAACACTCCATCCACTCCAAATCTAAACTCACTCTTCACACCTTGATTCAACTTGTCTACTTGACTCAATAAGAAAGGATCTATCTTCTGACCTTCTTAAAATATTTTTAATTAAAAAAATATTATGTCACTAAATTATTTATAAATATATCATTATAATTAATTTTAATTTTAATTAAATTAAATATATAAAATTATATAAATATGATAAA